TAGTATGCCATAACCTAGGACCTATGGCACCAGGGTGCTCTACAGGGAAGCTAATATCACTGAAAGACATAGGGAAACAAGAGATGCTTAAGAGGTAGCTCCTAAAGTGGTCTCAGATTTTGGCCACTGGGGAAGACATATCACATCTAAGGAGGAAGGAACTTGGGTGCATTCTGCAGTGTATCTGCTTCACCTGGGGACCTCCAGACCGCCTGTCTCCAGTGATTTTTGCCCCAGAAAAGCATGTGGGGACCCCAGAGTTCTCTTGCAAAAATGTTACTAGGCTGGGCTTCAGCATAATCTTAATGAGCATGATTTTTAAAGTCATCATCACTCTTCAAGACAGTATGGGGTCTCATCATCGACTCAGTGCCAGGTAGGTCACACAGGTTTCATCCACTTTGTCCCAAACCTCTAGGCCTCTCCATCCTGAGCCCAGAGAGGCATCCTATTGGTGCAATTGGCTGCATTTGGTTGCCTCACTGTTCTTGACACCATGATCCTGGTGAAGGACCAGGCAAGACAAACACATGCTGGCATGGCCTTATAACTGATTCTGTGACTTGCACTTCAAGAGTCTCCCAAGGGGTCTGGGCCTACCAATATGGCATCTATATCTGTGCCTGAACAACCAGGCCCAGCCTGATAGTACACCTGATCCAAGGAGCTCAGACTCTGTTCCAAGAACTCACGTTTCTTTCATGATTGCTGTCTACTTCAGTCTAGGACACAGTGGTGGGGCTAGTCATTGGGACGAGCCTTGGCTCACCCTTTTCATGGGAGTTTAACACTTCTCATGGGGAAGTGGATCCCAGTCACAGAAAAGATTGTTGGTATCATATTAAGCTCAGCTCATTGTGGCTCAGGTGAGGCTTCCCAAACATTATTTCTCTCTTCAGGACAGTGTGAGTTCTCATCATTGTACATTCCAGGCACCCCAAGATATGCCCATACACTCCAGGACTCAGCTTGTTTGGCTTACCATGAGCAGTTCTGAATGTCTCTTTTGTAAGAAGGGCTAGAGCTACCAGGTCACAGGTCACTGAGATCTTGACCACAACCCTTGGCTCTGGAGCAATGGGACATATGGTGGCTTCCTCTGGTGACACCATCTGTGGGACCGGAAGTACAAAGGTTGTGAAAAGACAGTAGGCTTAGAATACACTGGCAACAAGCGTGCTTTTTCCTGGTTGGTCAGGGGATAATGTTCCTGGTCTGAAATCCCTATGGGTTTTGACAGAAGGAAAGCTTTGCCTATCTTGTCCAGGAATCTCCAGGCCTTAGATCCCAAAGGGGCACAACTCATGAAGGGGCACTGCCCAAGGCTGCCTTTTTGTGGCTCCATTTGCTTTGCGTAACTCATACAGAAACACTGCTCTCAGGCACAGTCTTCATGGTTCCTGACATTCTCTCACCTTTCACCCAGGGTGAAAAGGTGCCCTACCAAAAAGCTTGTGTGACTAAAAAACACAAGGAAACAAACTGAGTTGAGAAGAGACCCAGCACTACTGTGACCTTTACCCTCAGCCAGTGCAAGAACACACCAAGTCCAAGGAGGAAGGACTTTGGGGCACACCCTGCTGGAGGACCATTGTAGCATGTGTACTATGTACAAAACTATTGACTTCCTGATCTCCTGTCCCCAGGATCTCCTGCTCTGGAAGGCATGGTAAATAGGTTGGGTCTCAATGTAATCCTACTGTGCGTGATTTGTAAGTCATCATTTCTCCTTAAGACGGTATGAGTTCTCATCATTGACCCAACACAATAAACCTTATTAAGGCACCCCAAGACATGCTCCTATCACCTGTAGAATTCAGACCAATGGGCTGGCAGCAGCTCATGTGTAGCTGGGGTCTTGAGGATAGCACTTGCCCTAAAGCAGTGGAACTCATGGTGACATTTGGCACAGGGAGTAGGTATGAGCAAACAGTAAGAGAAAGCTTAGGCTACACATATCCAAGGGGTATTTCCTCATGATTGGCTTTGGTGAGGCTTCTTGTTTTGTCAGTTCTGTTTGCATGGCTGGTGGCAAGCCCCACCCATGTTCCCACATAGCAATGTGCCTGTTGTTTTGGGATCAGAAAGGCGACATTGAACTGTGATGCTCTGCAGCAAGACTGTCCCCAGACTCTCCTTCCTGTCCCCCAAATCAACATCCTTGTGGTGATCCAGGATGGACACGTAAGCCCTGGCATTCTCTTGGAACTAGAGAATTGGTTACACTAAATGAATCCAAAAAGCCCCCCTGTGGGATCCTGGGCCTAACACACTATATCACCATCTATGTCTGGAAACCCGGGTACATCCTACATGCTCAGACTGGATCCTGGGAGTGCATGCTGCATCTTGCAAACAAAAATTCCCCCCTCCCCATGGTTGCATCCACTAAGGACACATCTCAAAGATGGGGTATGTGTATCTTACTAACCTTGGTCCACTTCCCTGATGGAGTTTTGGTGTCTCATGGAGGATTGGGAGCAGAGGCTAAGAAGTGGTTCTGGCAACCTTGAAGGTCTTAAATAAATCTGAACTCATCCATATGTTCTTGGAACACCAGTCTCCTGATGGGACAAGCCATCAGGATAAGGGGCGTGGCTGTAACCACCTTGCAGGTGCCCTGGCCTGGAGCAAATAATTAGGCATTGGCACCCCATGGCTGGGTCACTGAGGGAACATCCATACAACCTATGATTCCACATTTCTGTGACACATGTGAATTTTCCTGGCTGCATGACTTCTTTGGAACCAACTGCCCAGTCAGGCATCATTCCTTGACTTGGCATATTTTGCAATCCTGCATTCCTGAATAATCCGAATCATGTCCACATACTGATACATGATTTGTAGTGTCTACTTGTATCCAGCTATATTGGCAATGACTCTCAGAGACCCCACAGTCCACATAATCAGAGTGGTTACTCTAGCCATATGTAAATCCTTCCTTATAGGGAAGCCTTAGTGTTCCTGAATGACTTAGTGCTCCTGACTTGGCCTTCATATCCAGCCATGGCGTCAGGCAAGGTGTTTGGCGCTTCAGAACCCAAAGATGCACAACTCATGCAGGAGCCCTGCTTTCCTGTTGCCCCAGACATCCACCTCTCAGGCTGACTTGAGTTGATCAGTCATGTACCTACTCCTCTGCATAAGTCTCAAGACCCCATCATGCACTTAACAGGGAGTCAGGGCAACAGAGTTCAATGAACATGATTTTTAATACATTATTTCTGTTCAAGACAGTATGGGGTGCTCTGCACAGATGCACCTCTCACTGGAAGATATAAAAGAACAAGAGGAGCTGAGGAGAGAACTTTAAGCTTGGCCTTCCCTCAGCAAGAGATTTCATACCATGCCCAAGGATAAAGCAGATTGGGACACTTCCTATCAGAGCAGTTGCTCCAGTGTGGGGACAAAGCCATGACCTGGGGGTTCCAGCTTTCCTGTCCCCAGAGCCTCCTGCCTTGTAAGGCACACGGGGACCCCGGAGTCCTCTTATAGCACTGTCACTAGGCTGGGCCTCAGAATCATTCTGTTGAACATGATTTTTAAGACATCATCTCCATTTGAGGCAGTCTGAGGTCTCATTGACCCAACACCAGAAACCCAGCCCTGGGTACCCCAGGCCCAGATTCATACGTCTAGGTCCAATTGCATTGGCTTGGCACAAACAGTCTTAGATGTCTCCTTTGCCAGTGTGGCTGGCAGCACAATCTTGTGTGTTGTTGAAGCTTTGAGCATAGCCCTTGTCCCTGGGGCACTGGTACTCACAGGGATTTCCTGTGGTGGCATTATCACTGGGACAGGCAAGGTAATGGTGTGAACAAACAGTAGGAGCAGGATACACATGTGCCAATGGTGCTTTTGCCTAGTCAGTCAATATCTCTGGCGGTGCGCTATAAATAACATTCCTTCTGTGTTCATTGCCTACTATGCTCACAGACACTCCCCCAAATCAAGATATGGTCATTGGGCTGACCATGGCCCATCCTTCTGTGAAGTCCTGGAGGCCCCCTGAAGAGGACCTATAGTGTGGGGCTGGGAGAGGTCCTGATATCTTTGCCAGAGTCAGCTAGTCTGATGCTCAGTCATGTGACTAGGGTCACTGGATGGGCCCAAACTCAGATGCCCTGACATGGGGCATGTATATCAGTGGTCAATACCCTGTTACTGGCCACTGACTGAAACATCCCTCTGACTGGGGATACAGAGCACCTCTGACCAAAAAAAGATTCCAGGAGGCCTGGCATATGCAGAGCTGGGTGCCCCTTAGACTTTCCTACCTGCTTTGGTGTAGTTCACTGCACAAGTCTCCTATTTAATGTGTTCCCAGCCTTTACAAACAAAACAAAACACAACAAAATAAACAACAACAACAACAAAAGCAAAACAAAACATCATGATTTTCAGTGTCTAAACTTATGGCCACACTGGCAAAACCAAGCATAGCACTTCCAGTCTGTATAGGCTGAGTGGCTGCACTGGCCCCATGTGAATTCTTTTTCTAGAGCCCCCTCCCTTTCTTCTATTTGCACAACTCCTGTACTAGACCAAAGCAAACAAGGTGTTAAGAACTTCAGAGTTCAATTGATCTGTAGGAGAACTGCCCAAGGCTGTCTTCCTGTGGCTCCACCCCTAAGTTTGGCTTCTAGTAACCCTCTCAGTATCCCTGTTCCTGTACTCAGACATTATGACTCCCACCATGCACTCACCTGGGGCCCGGGGCAACAGGGTGTACTGTTGAACAGCTGTTTGCAGTGAAAGACACAAGAGGATGAGAGGAGATAAGGATGGGGTCCCCAGCATGGCTTAGCCTTCAGCCAGTAGAAATCTCACACCAAGCCCCAGGCGGAAGGAACTGAAGTAAATCCTGCCCAAGCAGCTGCTTGAGCCCGAGGACTATGTACACTCTGAAAGGCCTCCAAGTCTCCCATTCTCAGGGACTTCTCCATAGACAAGCAGATGAAGTCACTAGGTATCTCCTGTAGCACTGTTATTAAGCTGGGCCTCAGTGTAATTCTACTTAGCATGATTTTAAGTCATCATCTCTCGAGACAGTATGAGTTCTCACCATTGACCCAACACCAGAAGCTCTGCCATGATCACTCTAAGGTGACCAAAGCTACCTCCATGGCCAAGATAGATCAGCTTATCATTGGCAGTCATGAATATCTAATTTGCCAATAGGGCTGGTAACAACAGTTCATGTGTCTCTGAGGCTTTAACTCACAGCTATTGACCTGGGGATAGTGGAATTCATAGAAATCCTCTGGAGACATTACTGATATACATCAAAGAAATGGGTGTTAGTAGCAGGAGTAAAAACAGAAAATTTACAACATGAAATCAAATAACACACTACTGAATGACCTGTTGATTTTGCTTTATGGCTTTTCATTCGGGGGATGTATAGTAGCTGTGTAGTAGAGACTATCACATACAAATGTGAAGATGCAATGCAGTGCGCATCTCTACTTGTAAACCAAATATGGACTCCCAAAGAAATTGTTGAAAGTATCTTGACAATAGGATGCTGGACTCTTTGTAATTTGTCTATGTCTACAAAATCAGGATGCACTTAAATAGCAGAATGACAGATTTCACTGACTGTGAAGGCCTATACTATTGTAATAATATGGGGGCTTGGGTGGTTTGGAAGGGAAATCACAGAGCCTATGGAACTGTGTCATGGATTAATAAAATCAACAAATTAACTAAAAATATTTAAAGCCATGGAAAATAACCAAAACAAAAGCAGCAGGAGCAGGACACATCTGCCCCATAGGGTCCAGGTTTCCTGGGTACTCCAACTTATAATATTGGCAGGTTGGGCAAGTTCCTCTCACTTTACTTCTAAACATTTTGGCCTGTTTGTTCTTCAGCCAAGGAGGTACCCTTTGGCCAATTTCCCTTTCATAGTATACTACCCCTATCTCTTTCTTTCTCAAACATTCTAATTTTGGAGAAACAGACTGGACAAGCAAACACGTACATGGCCTTGAATTCAGAGGGCCAGTTGTACACATTGTATCCAATGAGGTCCCTGTGGGGCCCTGGGCCTACCAACATACTGCTGTAATCTGCACATACTGGATCCCAAGAGCTCAGGCAATGTCGTAAGGGCACACATTCCTCCCAGGGACAGTGCTGGCTACAATCTCGGACAGTCCTATGATGAGCACAAACATTAGGGATGAACTTGGATCACTCTACCTATGTGGCCTTAAAGTCTTCCATTGAGGAGCAGAAGGGGCTCTAGTATGCTTTCTGGGTCCAACTGAATCCAAAGTCCAGCCATATGGTCTGTGAATGACAGCTACTAGAACAGGCAAATTCTGGGAAGCAACACACCTAGCATTATCCTACAGGTGTTCTGAGTCAGGAGCTGGCCCTGTCCCAGTAAGCACTGATGTGGGTATGCCTGGCCTAGGTTCTAGCATGCTTGGGACAAACACAAAGCTATTAGGCTTCTCAGAATCTTCAGAGCTGGCTGCCCCACCAAACCACTGCCTTTGCATTATTATGGCTCATGGCCCATTTCTCCTACCTAATTTGATCACTGCCATTACCTGAGTCCTAGTGTTCTCTTACTTCAGCCAAACTAGAAAGAATCCCAGAGCCATCACCAGTAACACAGGTCATGTGGTAGTCCTAGTTTTCTGTGAACATGCCTTTAGAAAGACTTTCATTTCCTGGAGCAGCCGCTATGCCAGGTAAATATTCAGGCAATTCATCCTGGGTCTTAAAGTCCAAAAGATTATGCAGGAATAAGGTCTAGGGTTGCCTTTCAATGGCTCTGTGGGTCCAAAGCTTTAGCTAGCTTCAGATGACTTGTCAAAAATTTCTGTGCAATGTTCTCATGAACCCCAACATAAACTCACTTTGGATCTGTTGCACCCGAGTGGCCTGGCAGACACTGGAACACAAGGGATGAGAGAAGCTGAGGATGGAGTACCCAAGGTTATCTTGGCCTTTGAATAGCAGAGAGTACACACCAAGTCCAAGGAGGAATGAGTTTGAACATATCCTGGCAAAGCAGCTACTTGAGCCTGTGAGTGATAGCCTGTCTTGTGATGATGCAGGTCTACCATCTCCAGGGTTACCTTCCCTGGAAGACACATTGGGACTTGGACTCCTTGTACAGTATTGTTACTAGACCGAGCCTCATTGTAATCCTATTGAATATAATTCTTCAGTCATCATCTGTCTCCAAAACAGTATGAGTTCTCGGGCCCGGCGCGGTGGCGCAAGTGGTTAAAGGTCCTCGCCTTGCACGCCCGGGATCCCATATGGGCGCCGGTTCTAAACCCAGCAGCCCCGCTTCCCTTCCAGCTCCCTGCCTGTGGCCTGGGAAAACAGTCGAGGACGGCCCAAGGCTTTGGGACCCTGCACCTGCGTGGGAGACCCGGAAGAGGCTCCTGGCTTTGGACCGGCATAGTATCGGCCCGTTGCGCTCACTTGGGGAGTGAATCATCGGACGGAAGATCTTCCTCTCTGTCTCTCCTCTCTGTATATCCGCCTTTCCAATGGAAAAAAAAAAAAACAGTATGAGTTCTCATCATTGACCCAATCCCAAGAATCCTACCTCCAGGTCTCAGATAAATTGGATTTCCACAGGCAGACTCAGGTATCCACTTTTCAAACAGCACTAGCAGGACCTCTGCATCTGCCTTTGAGGCCATGACCAAAGCTCTTGTACCCATCATTGGAACATAAGGAGGCTTCTATTGGCAACATCACCTGTGGAATAGTGATGGGGAGTGGTGTGAACAGACAGTGGGAGCAGTCTCAGGCCACTGTATCCTGTCTCCATGTATGCAGTCAGCTTTTGGCCCAGATGAGTCTTCTGTGGCTACCATACCTCTTGGGAAGTGGGTCATTCAAGTTCTGCCCAATTCATCTGCGAACTCTTTGCTATGTTGGTCCCAGGCCAGAGAGGATGGGTTAGAAAGGGTTGTGTTTTTGTAAAGAGCTACCCCCAATTCTTCTACTTACCTCAAATAATTTTTTTTTGTGGGAAGCAGGTATGAGAATGGCTTCAGACTCAGAGAGAGGATTAGTTTCACCTGTTGCTCCTGTGAATGGCCCTGTGGGCCCTGGGCCTGCAACAGTTTACCCACAATGGCCCAGGTTTCCTGCTTCAGATTAAATTGTGCTAGCTCATGATGTGCACTCCAGTGACATGCTTCTCCCATGGTCAATGCCCACCATGGTGACAGACACATACCAAGGACTTTATAAGGATATTAGGCTGAACCATGGCTCACGCTTCCTGTGGAGCCTTAAGATCCCACATGGAGGAGTGACAGTGTAGACCCTCAGGGTGTCTGATATTCTTGTTGGATCAAAATTAGTAAAAAGCACAGACACAGAGATCATTCCCTGCTCGGTGCAAACCCAGGACAACAGGTATGCCTGGCACTGCCCTTTAGGAATGATTAATTAAGAGTGGGACTATCATTTGGCATCACATGGAATGTCCCTGTGACTCGGCTCCAGGGTACCCATGACTGTGGCAAGCTCCAAAGCTGCCCAATATCCCTGTTTTAGTGTGGTTTTTAAGTCATTCTCTCTTTGAGACAGTATGAGTTCTCATCATCAACACAAAATCAGGAATCTTTCTGTGGACACACCAAGATACACTATCACACTTCTAGGGCCCAGATGAACTGGTTTACCATATTCAGTTCTGGATGTGTCTTTTGCCAACAGGGCTGTCAGCACCAGCTCATTTTCCTCTGAACCCTATACCACAGTTGTTATTTTCTGGGTTCTTGGAATCAATAGGATTTTCTTTGGAGACATCATCTGTGGTATATGGATGGGAAGGCTGTGATCAGACAAGGGGAGCAGGAGCAGGGCACACTGTTTCCAGATGTACTTTCCACTGTTGCCCATGTGAGGCTACCCAGGCAGCCAAACCTATTGTCTTGGCAAGCATGGAAAGCTTTATCTACTATCTCTACATATACCTCATGACCACAGCTATGCACTCAGGACAACAGGGTGGAGAAAGACATAGGGGACATGGGGCTGAGAACAATAGCCCCAGCTCCCTCCTCTCATTCCTGGAGTGTGTGGGGCATACATCAAACCCAAAGAGGAAGGAATTCAAGGAGATTCTGCTTAATAGATATTCCAGTCTGGTGACTGGGTCATGGTCTGGAGACCTTCAAGTCTCCTTCCCCTGGAGTACCCTGTCTGGACAACCACATGGACATCCAGTGTCCTCTTTCAGCATGGTTGCTAGACTTGGGTTTGATGTAATCCTACTCAGCCTGCTTTTCAAGCCATCATCTCTCTTCAAGACAGTATGAGTTCTCATCATTGACCCCATACCAGGAATCAGCCACAGGAACTCCCAGGTACACCATCCCACCTCCAGGACCCCGAGGGTTGTCTTACCAATCCAAAACTTCCTTCTGAAACATATTTGGGAATACTAGCTTGTGGGCTATTGGGGCCTTGGTAATAGTCAAATCCATGGGGCTTTCTCTAGTGCCATCATCTGTGGAAAAGGGAGCAGATGAATGTGAACAAAAAGCAGAAACAGGATTAGCAGCAGCGTACACTAACGATGGGCCTGCTCTTAATCATCAGCCCAGGTAAAACTTCTTGTGCAGCCAGCCATGTTGGAATTGTGGGTTGGGTAAACTCCAGTCACGTCTTCCATGATTCCAAGGTGATGGAGAGCTCCCCTCTGGTCTCATAGCCCTATTGTTAGGGACTACCTTCATATCACCATCCCGCCTCTGACACCAAGATCCCTGAAGGTATAGAGGCTAGGTTAGCAAGGGCTGGAACAGCCTTGGCCCCAGAGGATCTATTACTTGAGACAGCTAAAAAGTCCCCTGTAGGACCCTGTGTCTACTAACAAAGCATTATTTTTCGTGCGTAACCAGGCCCAGTCTGTGTGTACTCACTATAACCTGCGAATTCAGGCTGTGTCCCAGGCACATACATTCCCTAAACTATTACTGCATACTGCAGTCCTGGACACATTCCATAGATAGGGAACAGCTATTGGGTCTGAGCAAGGCTCATTCCTCACATGGAGCTTTAAGGCCTCCTGTGGAGGAGCAGAGCTCAGACTAAAAAAGGCCATTGCTTCTTGCTGGGTTCAACTCAATCTGAAGCCCCACTATGCAGCCAGTGAGCATAATCCCCTGATCTGGGCAGATTAGGGGACATAATCCCCCTGAATGGACACTGATCTGGATGTCCCTGTGATCTAGGTTCCAATATTCCTACAACCCATGAGAAGCTCCCAGGCTGTTGGCACCTGCACAGCTGATTACCCTGCCAGGTCTCCCTCTCTGCCTCAATGTGAACTCCAGTCTAGGATTCCTACCCAACTAATCCCCACTGTCACACAAAAGCTTGATCCTCATTGTCCCCACACTTGTTGTCACAGCTACAAGGTTATCTAGAACCCCTGAGATCCACATAAGCCAAGTAGCAATACTGGCACCATGTGAACCCTTCCTCAGGAAGCTTTGATGTTCTTGGATTACTCTCTGCACCAGGCCAACACTTCAGATAAGACATTCTGGGTCTTAGAGTCCCAAAGTGAACAGCTCACATAGGAGCACTTACCTGGGACAGGAGTGCCGGGGTGCCCTGCATTGGGGCTTGTTTTACTGAAAGACATATGGGAATTAGAGGAGCTTAAGAGGGAACCTCTAGAATTTCTTTGATCCTAGACTTCATGAAACAGACATCAATCCAAGGAGGAACAGAGATGTGTTTTGCCTGAGCAGCTTCTCAACCTGGAGACTGCATATTGGCCTCCTGGGAGGTCTCCTTTTCCCAGAGTTTCCTCCCTGTAAAGCATGTGTTGATCTGGGTCTTCTTGCAGCACTGTCACTAGGCTAGGCCTCATGTACTCTACAGAGTATGATTTTTAAGTCATCACCTCTTTTCAGAATGACGTCTCATAATTGACCCAATACCAGGAACCTTGCTACTGGTACTTCAAAGTTCATCATCCCTCCTCCATTACCCAGATGGATTATCTTATCATGAGCAATTCCAGGCATCTCTTTCATCATCAGGGTGGCACCATCAGTTCATGAGCCACTTAGGTCATGAACATGGCCCTTGCACTTGGTGCAGTGGAACCCAAGGGGCTGGCATCATCTGTGTGATGAGGAGAGAGAAGTATGTGAATGAACAACAAGTTTAGGATACACTGACATCAGGCATGTTTTCACCTGATTGACACAGTTAAGCCTCACCAAGCTGCCAACTCTGTTGGCATAACCACTTGCAGAGCTCCACTTATCTTTCCTTGAGTCTCTGGGTCTTTGCCAGGCAAGAGAGTCTTCCTTCAGCTTCACTGTCTTGCTCCAAAGGCTGCCCATTCTTCACTTTCCTTTCTTTAACACCAATATCCTAGCAGGACTCTGGTTGAAAAATCAAATGTGCACACTGCCTTGCAGAGAAGACCTGTTGCAGAAGACACACCAAGAATTCCTCCTTGAGCCCTGAGCTGAGGAACAGGACATTGCTCTCAGTAGCCTTGGTGCCCAGATCTTGATCTCATGCATACACTATATTTCTGGAGTTTAGGTTGTAGCTTCCTTCATACATTTCCATTATAGTTTATGCTTACCATGATCTCAGACTCATCCAAAAGATTTAGCATGGGCATCAGATTGCACCTCAGTGTAGTATTCCTGTGAGTCCTGTGAGGCTTCCCTGTAGAAGCAGGAGCCTAACAATCTTACTGGGCTCAGTCTGAAGTCCAGGCATATGGCTAGATTGCCCTGAGACACTCAAGTCAGGGATTGAAACCACCCTATAAGGGCACTGACCATGTTGGCAGCTGTATGGTAGCCTCTGGTGTCTGCACTATCCAAGTGAAACTCAAAGGCTACCCAGTATCTACAGATCCAGTTGTCCCACCAGATCTCTCTACCTGCATTTGTTTGATTCCCGCAGAGGCCTGATCCCCAGTGTGTATACTTCTGGACACACTTACAAGGTAACCGAAAGTCCCTGCAGCACATACAAGTTGAGTGATTGCACTAGCCCCATGTTAACCCTCCCTCAGAAGCTTGTGTATTCCTGGCACAGATACTGCACTAAACCAGCCCTGCAAGCAAAGAGTCCTGGGCATCAAAGTCTCAAGGGACACAGCTCAGTCCTCTTGGTCCTGTGCATACAGTCCTCATGACCTACGTCATGCATTTACCTGTAACTTAGGGCTACAGAAAGTCCAAACAGGCAGCTCAGCTCAATGAAAGACAGAAAGGGAGGAGAGGAATTGATTAGGGCATCTGTAGTCTACAGTGTGTCCACGGCCCTCAGTCATAGGCAAACACAAGTCTAGGATAAGGAGTTTTAGTGCATCCTACCAAGTAGATATTTAATTTTGGCACTTCATCCTAGCCTGGGGGTCTCCAGGTTTCCTGTCACGAGGGAACGCTTACCTGGAAGGCATGTGGTGACTTTGGGTTCTTTCGCTGTACATTCACTACGTTGGGCCTCAGTCTAACCCTGTTGGATGCAATTTTTAAGCCACCATCTCTCTTCAAGACAGTAAAAGGTCTCATCATTGATCCAACACCAGAAACCCTGGCATGGGAACCTTAAGACACAATGCACCACCTGCAGGGTCTGAGAGAATTGATTTGCCATGGGCATTCCTGCATGTCTCATTTGTCAATGGTGCAGGCAAGATCAGCTCATAGACCACTGTGGATTTGAACACAGTGCATGTCCTGGGGCAGTGGAACCTACAAGCATTCCTCTGGTGACATCATCTGTGTGACAGGGAGGAGGATAGGTGTGAACAGACAGTAGGTTTGGGGCACACCTATGACTATGACCAGAATGGCACATCTCTGTCACATAGGCCTCAATGTTCCTACAACCATAGGAAGATCCTTGGCTTCCCAGCATCTACATATCTTGCTGTATCCATCCCACCCCTTTGCCTTGTTGTGGTCCATAGTCTGGGCTAAATACCTGATCTATTTCATGCCTCTTCATTGATCTTTCACAACATCCAGACAAACCATCAAGACAAATCAGAGATCCTACAGTTGACAGCAGAATGGCACTACATACTTCACAGGCAGACTTAATCAAAAAGACTTGTCCTTCTTAACTTAGATCTTTCCCCAGGTCAGGCCTTCAGGCGATGTGTTCCTGAACATCAGAGTCCAAAGAGACACTTATCACTAAGGAGCCTTGCCTGACACTGACTGCTAGTGGCTCCATAGGTTGATACCCCAGGCTGGCTTCTGGTGACCCATACAATGTCCTACTACAATCATAGTCTTTATGATTCTGGTCATGGACTCACTTGGTACTCAGGATGCTAGGGTACACCACTGAGAATCTTGTATCACTGAAATACACAAGGGGAAGAAAGGAGCTGGGAAGGCAGACCTCAGCATGGTCTTTGACTTTGGAATTGGGTAGTTCACTCAAAGTCAAAGGATTAAGGACCTTGGGTAAGTTCTGCTGGAGCAGCGCTCAAGCCAATGGGATTACATCCTCTCTTGGGAATCCTCCAAAACTCCTGTCTCCAGAGTCTCCTGCAAGCATGTAGGAATCTTGGGTTCTTGAAACACTAACACAAACTGGGGCTCAACGTACTTCTATAGAGCAGGATTTTAAAATCATACCTCTCGTTAGAATGAGTCTCATCACTGACCCAACCCTAGAAACTCCACCATGCTTTCCCAAAGGCGTGTTGTACCACTTCTGGGTGCTACATAGAAATGCTTATCACAGGTAGTCCTGGAAATCTTCGCCAATAGGGCTACCAACACTGTCTCATGGACCTCTGGGATGTGGTTCACAGCTCTTCCCTACAATGTAGTAGAAGCCATGGGAGCCTCCTCTAATATCAACATCTGTTGCACAGGAGGAGAGTCTTGAGTAAACAGATAGCAGGATCCAGGCTCCAGGTACACAGGCTCCTAGTATGATTTTGTCACTTTGGGCCAATTGATGCTTCCAAGGTAGCTAGCGTTGTTGGTGTGGTGGGGTCCTTTATGCTTTGCTACCGCCTTGAACTTCTGAGCCTACTGGACCTGAGGCCAGAGATGCCCTTGAGGACCATGTCATCCTGCTTCAATGGGTTATCCACACCTCGACTTTCCTCCATGGTTGAGTCAGGGATCTGAACTAGACAGTGCTGGAAAGCTCTTGGCCTCAGAACAACTGAATAAAGACTCACAATAAAGGAGGCCACTGTGCTGGGTCTGCCAATATAATATTGGCTTCTCGTCTGGGCTCCTAGATCAAGACTATTTACACAACTATTCCAATAGCTCAGGCTTGGCTTTCTGTAGCCACATCACTCCCAAGGTGTCTGCCCGTCACTATCTTAAACTCATCCCAAAGAAGTAATAGAGGCATCAGGCCATGGGCCACTGCTTCCTTGGGGATTGGGGAAGGCACATAGAAAAGTACGCAACCAGGTCCATCCTTGCAAGATATAGGTGAGTCTAAATGCCAGACACACAGTTTAGGAATGACAGCCACTTGAAAGAGAAAACCATGGACAAGGTGCATGAATGGCATCAAGCTGCAGATGTCCTGTGGCACTTACTTTTGTCATGGGCCGTGATCTCCCTGATTCTTCCTCAGAAGGATGTGTGCCTGTGAACCAGATTCGATGTTTCCACACCCAGGTGAAGCTATCATTAAACTTGGCACCTACAGAGCCAAATGCCCTGCCAAACCCCTCTTCCAGCATTATCTCGACCTTCAGCCTCAGGGAACTCACACCATCAGGCCCAAGGAGGAGAGGCTTGGGGGCAATCTTTCAGAGCTTCCACTCAAGCCAGGGTCCTGACCTGGGAGTCCTCAAGTAATCCTGTCCCTAGTGCTTTCTGCCCTGGAAAGACTTGGAGACCTCAAGATCTTCTTGAAGTACTGTCACTAGGCTAAATCTCAGTGTAATCCTTTCAAGCATGATTTTTAAGTCATCATCTCTCTTCAGTATGAGTTCTCATCATTGACCCAACCCCACGAACTTTACTATGGTCACCCATGTGTATACTGTTCAACATCCAGGACCCATATACATTGGCTTACCATGGACAGTCTTAGATATCTCTATTTTGAAAGGGGCAGGCATCATCTGCTCATGAACTGGCCAGGTCAGTAGTCCTTGAGGCCAGTTCTGTTTGTGACTGGTTAGTAAAATTTCAACGTCTTGTTCTCAAAATTCTCGGTCTCTTGGTGCTGGGGTCAGAGAAGTTCCACTGAGAATTATGACCCTGAAGCAAGGGGTTCGCTTTACCTCTCCTTCCTGACCTAGACACCAAGATTTTGGTGAGGACCAGAACTGGACACTGAAGAACTGACATGGTCTTGGACTCAGAGAATTGGTTATATAAGATGCACACATTGGTCTCATAGTCTACCAATATGTCATTGCTTTTAAGGGCTTGTATGCATAGTTTAAATCTGTGTGGATCCTGGAAGCTCAGTCTATCCCTTACAAGACTCTTCTTTTTTTTTTTTCCATTTTGCTGCGCTTGTTATTCTGACACATTCCAAGGCATTGGAATGGGTCTGGATATTCATGTTGGTTCACACATGAGGCTCAGAGGCTCGGTGGAAGGTCAGGTGTCAAAGCCCAGGAAGGGCCTTGGTATCATTTATGAGCTCAACTCATCCAAAGTTCAGCCATTTGTCACAAAAACACCAGGGTTTCGTAACACAGGGTTAAGACATGGGTAAGGGTATGCGTGAGACCATCTTGTCCTGGCCTATAGTACTTAAACCAGGGGTCAGCTTATCCTTGATCAGGCTCTCATCATATCATTCCTATGACGCAGGCTCCAATGGCCCCCAAGCCACAGGAAGATGTAAGGCTGCTTGGCACCTGCGAAGTGTGGTCTAAGGTTTGGGTCTATTTTTGCAACCTGATTCCAAGGCCATAGAAAAGAAGCCTGATCTATAGTATCCCCATAGCTGTGGCCACACAATTAAGGCTACTAAGAGGCTAACTAAATCTATGCCCTATGCCCAGAGATGTTTTCCATGGTTGCTTCTTGTCATGGTCTATCATACCTCCCAAGGTTGCTTATGGGCACCCCAAGGTGGTACGCTCTTCATTTGTCTTCCTTTAGACTAGTGGAGCTGGGTCCATATGGGGCTCCTGGAATTTTTGCAAAGCTCAGATGAGACTGAAGCCCAACCATGTTGCCAGCCAAAGAAAGCCCTTGAGCCTGATAAGTATCAGATAAGGGACTTACCTTGTATGGCATTATAGTTTCTTTGGCCTAAAACATTTAATTTGGGGCTGGCATTCTTATGAGAAGACAAAAGCCAATGAGTCCCTATGCTACATATGCACCAGCATCCCCTCAATTCACCTGAATTTCTCAGGCTTGTCAGCACCTACAAGCCACTGCCCCATACCACCATCCCTGTTTCAGTGTGGTCCACAGTTCAGGCCTTCTACCCATTCTGAGACCCATCTTTTCACAGCGTCCTGATCCCTAATGTCCACACACTATCCACACTGATAACGCAACTCAGAGATCCCACAGCCCACACAAGTGTTTGCCTCAGTCTAGCTGAACCTTCCCCCAAGAAGAATTGCATTCTTGGCTTGGGCCCCACAAAGAACAGTGCTTTATACAGGCATACAAAGCCCAAAAGGCTCAGTTTGTGCAGCAGCAGAAACAGAGGGTGACTTTTTGTATTACTATGGGTAAACTACACAGGCCCCTGCTCCCATACATAGGATTCATGAACCATCCCCCCAATTAACTTGGAAACTGTGGTGCCAGGGCGCTCTGCTTGGAAGCTCATCTCATTAAAACACAGAAGTATTAGAGGAACTAAGGAGTAAGCCCCAATATGTTATACCCAGCATGAATTCACACCAAGCCCACAGAGGAAAATGTCTGGGCACATTCTACTCCAAGTGTCTGATTGAGCCTGGAAATTTCATTCTGTTATGCAGTATCCTCTCCAGGATTCCTGCCCTGTAATTTATGTATGGGCTTCCAGAGTCCTTTAGTAGAACTATCACTAAACTTGGCCTCAATGTAATCCTTTTGAGCATGATTTTTAAGTCATAATCTCTCTTCAAGACAGTATGAGTTCTCATCACTGACCCAATTTACAAACCTGTCATAGACAACTTCAGGTGCCATGTCTCACACCTAGATCTAGGATGGACTGACTTACCACAGGCAGTGCCAGAAATATTCTTAAATGAGGTTAGCAACACCACCTCATGTGTCATTGGAGTCATGACAACAGCCTTTGACTCCAGGCATTTAACTCATGCCACTAACTTTCTTTAGTGGCTTCATGTGTGGGAAATGGAGGAGAAGGGATATAAGCAGGTAGCAGGAGCAGCCTCACCTTACACGGACTCCTGCCATGCTTCCACCCAGTTATCCCAGGTGAGAATTACTGGGTAGCCAGTTCTGTTGCACTGGTAGGTTACAAAAGCTCTGCCTACCTCATTGATTAACTTTGGGCCTACTGTTTCTCAAGTCATAAAGCTCCACTCCATTTGTGTCACTGTGGCGTAAAGAGCTACCCTCACTTTTCCTTGCTAGTCATGACATCAAGTTTT